GTGGCCTTGGCACCACTTTTGTGGTGGAGCAGTGGGGAGGGGCGGTGCATAGGGCTGGGGCAATGTCTGGGAGAAGCAAGAGCTTGGGGGGAGGTAAGGTGGGAGCTGGGTGCTGAGTGCTGAGGGCCGAGTGCTGAGCCAGCGCTCCCTCCATCCCCTCTGCAGGACCATGCCTTCCGCTTGCTGCAGCCCGGCGGGGTCCTCACCTACTGCAACCTGACCTCCTGGGGGGAGCTGCTGAAGACCAAGTACACTGACATCGAGAAGATGTTTGAGGTGAGCATTGTTCCGTGGGCTGGGGAGGGCCTGGCACCCCCGGCCCAACCCAGGGTCCCCAAAGCTGCCCCATCAGATTGTGCACCTCCTGCATCATTTGCCTGACACTGGGGTTGAGGAGCAGCACAAGAGCTCTCCAGCTGCTTAGCTCCTCCAGCCAGGGCTTAGCAGGGAACATTGAGGGAAGGTCAGCAGGTTTTTGCCCACAGCAGCCCAAGATGGGGCTCCCTGCACCGGCTAACTTGTACTGTCCTGTATCCACACAGGCTGGGGCTCAGTAGCACCTCCACTTGCATCTGGGCAGCTCAAACCATTGCTTGCTCCTTCCCACCCTCCTCTCTCACAGGAGACCCAGGTAGGGCACCTGTTGGAGGCCGGGTTCAAGAAAGAGAACATCAGCACCGCGGTGATGGACCTGGTCTCCCCCAAGGACTGCAGGTATTACTCCTTCCAGAAGATGATCACCCCCACCATCGTTAAGTACTGAGGGTGCCACCAGCCTGGCACCATCCCTTGGGGCTGCTCTGAAGCCACAGGAAGCAAACACTAAGGAAAGGAAACTGATTATGCACACTTGAGGAGGAGGAAGGCTCTTATCTCCTTTGATGCTCATGAGAAGATTGAAGCTGATTTACCTGGAGGCAGGAGGTGGCTGGAGGCTTAGGATGGAAGTCCTGGGTCTCCAGGGGACCTTCTGGACAAAAGGACTCCCTGCCCCACCAAGGATGTCACCCAGAGGATGTCACCCAGCATGAAGCCCTTGCCCTGGAGGGGCCTCTGGGCTCTGCAGAGCAAAGTCCCACCCAGCATCCAGGCATCCACCCCAAGGGCCAGTCATTTCCACTCAAGACTCAGACCTCCTTGATGAATACCTCAGTTAAGCTGTAATTCAAGAGCCTGGTGCAGAGCCTTTGGCCAAAGGGCTTCAAGGACCAGATGTTTTATCCTCTAAAACCTGGATCATTTTCAGAAATCCCGGGTGGCCAAACTCCCTGGTGGTTTTCCCAGGATTTCTGGCTGAAGCCCACTGCAGCAAGTTCTGATCCTCACAACCTCCTTGCAGTTCAACAGCGTGTAAATGACGCTTCCTCTCTTTACCCAGAAGGGATAAAATCCATTAAAAACCCCAAATGAAACCCACAGTTGCTGATTCAGAGCAAATTATTTGTCTTTCAAAAGCGTGTGTGTAATTCTGCTGTGACTGCTCCTTGTCCCAGGCCACATCCAGCACCAAAACCTGCCAGGGGCTGCTCCATTCCTCCTGTGCCAAGGAGCGCTGCAGCATTCGTTCTTAGTAGTCACATTTTTAGCATTAATATTTTACTTACCTTACAGAAATAGAATTGATTTCTGGCTGCTGTGCACACAGGTATAAAGGATTTATTAGATCCTTTGTACGAATTATAAACAAAAAGTAGGTAGTAAGAAATGAGCTCAGGGAGCAAATCCCAGGTTTCAGGCAAAGTCTTCAAGAATCTTCCTCCCTCAGAGCCATTCAGATCAGAAAACACCACAGTGAATGTTACCAAATCCAACTCCTGCTTTTTAATCTGGTTTTTAAATGAATTAAACCACTTCAGATATGAGGGATGTATTAAAGACAGAAGAGTGTCATAACCAGGTAGAGTTTTATTAGAAGGCGTGTGAGGACACGGGTTGATTGTGCGTATGAAGGCAAGCAAGAGGGGAGGTCATAAATAAAAGTCTATTTCCTGTACCAGATCTGAATCTTCTTCTCCCGTTTGATTTTCTTCTGAAGCTGCAGGATTCCATACAGCAAAGCCTCAGCAGTAGGTGGGCAACCTGAGAGAGAGAAAAAGGAAGCCACGGGGCTGCTTGCTGCACTGAAATGTAGCCAGCAGATGGAGAAGCGACAAACCCCAGGCTTTGCCCCGAAGCAGCTTCCACCTCCCTCTGCCTTTGTGTATGTCACTGGCTGTGGGGTTTAGAAAAGCAAGAGGCCGCCTGTAGGTTTTCTGGAAAGGTCTTTTTAAAACATAGAAATGCTTCACTTTTCAACGAAGTGATATCTCACAAGAGTATGTGGTTGACTAAACTAGAGCCCACACTTTACACAATGGATGCTGGTAAGTAACATCACCAGAACCACCCCACTCCTCTTACTGAAGCATCTGCAACTTCAACACCACACTTTGAAACAGAAAGAGCTTGAAAAACTACACTAAACACTGTCCAAATGGGCCAAGTTAACTTCCCTGCCGTGCTGCTCGGAGCTGGCGCCACGGCACGTGGAGCCACCCTTCCTACCTGGCACATAGATGTCCACCGGCACGATGCGGTCGCAGCCCCTCACCACGGAGTAGGAGTAGTGGTAGTAACCCCCTCCATTGGCACAGCTGCGAGAGACAGGCAGGTTTCAGCCTGGTTAAACACCGTTTGGCAGCCCCAGGAGAGGAGACGGGAGGCAAAGGGGTGCGGGAGGCAGAGGATAAAATGGGGCCTGCACCCGAGCGCCAGGGGCAAGGAGCCCCCCGCCACGTTTTACAGCTGATGCCAAGGTCCACACCGTGGCTACTCAGCCGCTCACAAGGCCTGGCAGGCAGAGGCTACACCCACAGGCTGTTACATTTCAAGCTGAATTTTAAACTTAAACAGGGGAAGTTCAGGTTTGGATACAAGGAAGAAGCTCTTTACTGTGAGGGTGCTGAGGCGCTGGCACAGGGTGCCCAGAGAAGTGGTGAATGCTCCATCCCTGGCAGTGTTCAAGGCCAGGCTGGACCGAGCCTTGAGCGGCATTGTGAAGTGTCCCCGGCCCATGGCAGGGGTTGGGACTGGATCATCTTAAGGTCCTTTCCAACCCAAACCATTCTATGATTCTATGAATCAAACCCAACCAAACCCAACCATTTTCATTACTCCTACGAAGCAGAGACAGTCCTTCCTCCATACTGCAAACCCTTTTTGATCTCACCACATCTGCACAGAGCATTTCTAGAGCTGTTCTCTCCGCTCCAGACCGTGCTGCAATGGCTGCCCTCAGCCCCAGGAGACAAACAAGTTGTCAGCTCCGCCATGCCGGAGCTGCACGAAGCTGAGGTTCTGTCTTGTGCTGCCAAAGCTGTTTGAAAGGTTTAATCTAAACACGAATTATGATATTCCGGACACATGCAAGTCCCCAGACTCTGCAAGTTGCAAATCCTGAGGGAAAACTCTGCAGTTCACAGTGATTTGACAGACATTGTTCTCCTCATCCTAATGAAAGGGAGCCTTTATGTTTCCTTTGTAACAAGGCCTCTTTATATAGTTTCAGGGGTTGGAAACAAAGTGAGAAATGGGTTCCTCTCCCTTCATCTCCCTGGCTCAAGCAGGCAACAGCAGATTTCTCCCACCAAGTACGAGGCAACAAGCATGTCCTGGCACTCACCTCCCCATGGAGACCACGTAGCGAGGTTCTGGCATCTGGTCGTAGACCTGCAGGACAGAGACAGCCCAGCTCAGCCCCCCGTTGCCTCGCAGCACGCACGAGGTGCCCAGCGCAGCCCCGGTACCTTCCGGAGAGCCGGGGCCATCTTGTTTGTCAGGGTGCCAGCCACGATCATGACATCAGCTTGCCGGGGACTGGCTCGAAACACCACCCCGAAGCGGTCCATGTCGTAGCGAGGAGCTGCCATGTGCATCATCTCCACGGCGCAGCAGGCCAGGCCGAACGTCATCGGCCACAGGGAGCTCTGCAGCAGAAGAGGCAGGTTGTGGAGAGAGCCCAGACCCTGCACGGGTGACTCAAAGGGCAAGAGGTGATCAGAGAAGGAAGCAGAACAAGAGAAGGCTCAAGGTCTGTTCAGTGCACTGGTGTCTGCCATTACGTAGGAGAGCAAACCCCACGGCTCCAGGGAACAGATGTGTAGAGATCAGAGTGTTCGCAGCCTCAGAGATGCTGAACGTGCTCAGAGGTGAAGACGCTCCCCTTAACGTGTCACACTGCTAAAGCAGCCACCTCAGGAGCCCTGCACACGGGCAGCGGTGGCTGGAGAAGGCAGAATTCAGCTAAGCCAGAGCACCCTGGATTCAGCCTTCTCCACGGCACAGAGCAGCCGCTCGTTACAGGGATTATGGAAAACCAGAAGGCACCTTCTGCTCGTGTCTGAAGGCCAGCTCTGTTCAGACAGGCAGCCTGCACTGCTCTGCACCACCCGCCTGCTCTGACACAGCACCCAAACGTCACCTCGGGCCAAGAGACTGGAGAATTTGGAAGCTATTTTTACCCTGAGGAAGAGATGGCTCAACTCCATTTCGCATCAGCACCTCAAACGTTCGATCCCATTGCTCCCTAGTGAGTACAGCGGTTTCAGGAACTCACCCTTCTTGCCCAGTTGACCAGGTCATCGAGTTTGGTGACAATATATTCACCCCTGCTACTGGGGACGTAGGACTTCTTCTGCACAACAGCTGAGCTCTTCTGCTGGACTTGGACAGAGCTAAAGGCAAAACAGTGTCAGGCTCCAGTTCTTTAGTGTCACTGCAGAACACAATCACCAGCCCCGAGGAGCTGCGGTCCCGTGAAGAACCCGCGGCACATCTCACACCCGCTGCAGGCTGTGCTTAGAGCAGGGGGAGCGATGTTCCCCTCGCTGTGGGGAGAGCAATGGAGCTTACTGCTCAGAGCCCCTGTGTTCACATTGCAGAGGGGGCCCGGTGGGGTGGTCTCCAGGCTGGCAGCAGCCTGGCAGTTAACCCTGCCTTTTAAGATGGGAACCACCGAGAAGACGGTCACGCACGGACAGAGCTGCTGCGAACGGGAGGTTTCCTGCCCTGTACCACTGGGGATCCCTCACCCGCGGGAGGACGGGCCCGGCAGAGGCGCGGGCCCTGCAGCGCCAGCGGTACCTGTCCGCGCGGTCAGCC